TTTACAATAATGAAATGTTTTTTTTTATAGAAACTCATGAATTTCTTATCTCTTATATTAAAATAAATATGTTATAATTATTATAACAATAAAAATACATACATTTTGAAACGAACAATAAAATATGAGTGACCGGTTTTTGTCTTTCAGTGTAAATACAGGGTGAATTGCTACTCGTGCTACAAACTTCTCCAGTAGATTCTTCACCCTAAAATGAACAAAAAAGTTCATATTGTCCATGGTCCGATTCNGGTTGAGAATCGGACCATGGACAATATGAACTTTTTTGTTCATTTTAGGGTGAAGAATCTACTGGAGAAGTTTGTAGCACGAGTAGCAATTCACCCTGTATATGTTTGAATTTTATATACAAATGTACATATAAATGTAAATACTTTTAGAGAACATAACTCTGTACATAGCCTAAACAAGAGAAATAAATAAAAGTTTAAGGGAACTGAGACCTATCAAAACTGGAAGTCGAAATTATACAATCTGTTACCAGTAGAGTTCAAAGAAAAATTGTAAATAGTTTTAAATTGCCAGTTCCTAAATATTCAACAAATACATTAATGTACGTTATTACATACTATATAAAAAATTGACTGTTGTACAACCAGTAATTTTTTACTAGAAATCTCAGTATATGTTTATTCAAACAGAATTGTGGACTCTATTTCTAAGACACGTTAACACGGGAGCGGGACTTTAATTTACTTTGATTACATTTTTATTTCTCGTTGAATTCCAAATATTATAATAGATAAATATTGGGCGAAACGGCGAATTTAAGACGACAAATTCTGATTAACAAAATACGAATTTATTTAAAAAAAATTAAATGAATATATTATTCCATTTATGTTTTAGTGGTCAATTTACCAAGTTACATGTTTCAATTAATTATTCTTTTTATGCAAGGTTTTGGTTGAGGGAAAAAAGTCAGTGTCACGAGCGGTATTCGAACCCTCGACCTTCGGCTACATAAGACGCTGCTCTAACCACTTGGTGTCCGAGTGGATCGAAGTCATGATAGCTCAAGTGGTAGAGCAGCGGAGTATTTAGCCGAAGGTAGTGGGTTCGAATCCCGCATATGACACTGAATTTTTTATCTCCACCAAAACCTTAGATAAAAAACATGTAAATATTATGTATCTTTTTATGAATAAATGATTATATCTAAATAAAAAAGAAACAATTATAGTGTGTTATGACAGGTTGTTGTTTCAAACAAAACACAATTTTAACGGAGCACTCGCGGATTACTGAGCAATCTATTGATTGGCGATTATTTCCGTTAAATGGGCCTAACATGGTAGGTTTGATTTACGGCCATAATTACAACAAATGTCAGCCAACTACAGATGCGCAGTTATATTTCGTAAGCTTCCGCCTCTTGGAAATTAATGCTACAATACAGGCCGTCCGGCTATACGATTGGGCGGATTTGACAGTTATACCCTTATATTTTGACCAAATCAATACCGTTACCGGGACAAAACAGATTTCACGCGGTACAACATCTGTTGATGGTTGTTTACGAACAATAAATTCCAATCGCTCTAGCTAAAATCCAAACAAAAAAAAAAACAACCAAGGTATTTACAATCGAAACTTGCTTTTCGTAACATACAATTAATCAATGATTCTTAATTTAAGTGTTTGAAGTATCGACCACTCTTCTACTCAAAAAATATCTTGATCACTTGGATAAACTTTTATACCTATATTAAGGTCATCATCAGGGGAAAACAATTCAATTTTGATATATTACTTGACAATGTTGGGACTGAGTCAGTATTGAATGAAATTTTAAACTTAATTATGTCATTTTGTATTCATATGGAAGAATGTTTTGCCAATATGATGCCCAAATATAACTATGTCGAAAGCTTGGCAATATTTCTTTTGAATCAAGAAATAATTGATGATTGCTTTTCTTTTTAGACCCTTTTGACAATAAAAATGCTAAATAAATGTAGCAAGGCATTTAGTATGCAAATTAGGATGTTGCGAAAACGCAAATATAATTATTACTCTTATAATTATAATTTACGAAAGGTATTAGTTGAGATAAAAAAGTCATCGTCACGATCGGGATTCGACCCACGACCGAGCGGATCGAAGTCACGATAGCTCAAATGGTAGAGCAGTGGCGTATTTAGCCGAAGTCGTGGGTTCAAATCCCGCTCATGACACTGACTTTTTTATCTCAACCAATACCTCTCGTCAATGGCACCACTAGCTCTACCACTTGAGCTATCGTGACCTCGACCACTCGGACACTAACTTCCCATCTCAACCCCACCTTTTGAATTTTTCCTCTGTTTTTGCCATTTTTCAAATGTTGTGTAATCAGGATTGCATTCTCGACGACAAATGAAATGACCACGGAGAGCTTTAGTGAAGTATCGTGGGTTCAAATCACGCTCGTGCCATTGACTTTTTTAATCTCAACTAAAAACTTTAATTGTAATATATTAGTTGGTCAAGCGGGCCACGAAATTAGAGAATTTAATGAATTATATATATAGTTATATTTTTTACAACGGAATTTTTTTGTAATTATAAATTTTTTTCAATTGTCCAGTTTTGCTGAAATTCCGCATTTTACATAATTTTGTGGTTGTGGATTTACGTTCTCCACATCGAGTTCGTTTTTCTTTCGTTCCAAGGAAATGCCCAATTTTGTCGAATCAGGTCTCCGAGGAAATCCTGCCCATAACAGCTGATGTTGTTTTGTACCTTGTTCGTTTAGGTGCATTTCCGAATGTTTCAAGCAGTTCATTGTTCATTCGTCGCACTTCTCTTGAACTGCAAAAAATCCAGTGTCCTTCCAGGAGAAGCTCTGTAGAGCAACCAGGCATTTTGTACAGCCACGTATAAGGTCCAGATGGCATATCGATAAAATGTTTCTTTTAGGTGATTCAGTAATGGGTTTATTTTCCAAAGTCTGTAATCTCTATCGATGGATTGGTCACTATTATTGGCAAAATTGAATAACGCATAATATCAAAGCCGTTTCTGCGCATTGCTGATGACACTGCTGCGTTGTTTACGTCAGGCGATTCTTCCCAATACATTCGTCTTGGTACAGTAGCATAGCCACTAATCATCATGTTGCCTAAAAACGCTTTTAAATCGTCGATAGAAAGCTGGAAATGACGGCTTCCATTTTCACACTTTGCCTTATGTACTCTAAAATGTCATAAAAAAAAAATTGAAAAAGCAAAGGTGACAAAGGCTGCAAATTGTGAGGACCGTAGTAAGACTGTGTCTTGGATAAAGACAATTTGACGGAAGAATCGGGAAGGTTTTCTTTATTTATCCAAACATATTTTTTTCAGCATTTTTCTTTCTTGGCGCCGGTTTTTTCTGAGGTATTTTTCGATTTGTTCTTTGTCTAGATTGGGGTTCAGAAATTTCATAAATATGTGGACTTGTAGACGCATAAATAGAAGATACTAGGTTGATCTTATTTATTCTCAAAACTTATTCATTGTTAGAAGTAATGACAACCTCAGCTTCAGCAGATAATTGACGACTGTTGAGATTGTTTATCGTACCACTCTCATCGTGGTCACCAGTGTCTATGTCAGTATCACACTGAGCATTCTTGGCAGGAGTAATGAATAAGTCCAGGACTTGCTGCTTGATGAAGGCAGTATTTTCCTAATTCTTCCAAAATACACAATAGCTCGTGAGCAGTATAATACTTTCTAATAAAAAACAAAGGAGAGAATAAAATATCACTAGTTTATAAGATAAGATACTAAAATTTGACATGATAATAGGATAAGGTTCTGCTAGGTTCATTATTTACAAATTGTAAATCTATTATGGGCAACTATTTTTTTTCATACTAACTTTCAACAGTATGTGGTAGTTTATCATCTATTTCTAATAGCTAATCCATAATTTTAACAGAAAAGTAATGGTGGTAATTGTTCAATTAATTAAGGTTTGTAATTGAGATAAAAAAGTCAGTGTCACGAGCGGGATTCGAACCCACGACCTTTGGCTTGATACTTCACGAATGAAGTCACGATAGCTCAAGTGGTAGAGTAGCGGCGTATCAAGCCGAAGGTCGTGGGTTCGAATCCCGCTCGTGCCATTGACTTTTTTATCTCAACTAAAAAACCTTAATTGAATGATATAAATTGGCCAAGCGGATCACGAAAAATAGTGATGGTAGTAATAGTATCGAGTTTAGAGTATATACAATGATGACTTTTTTTTATACTAATTTTGATATTAAACGTGAGAAAGTTAGAAATTTCCTTAATGAAATGTAAAAATAACAATTCATTCTATCAATATCACAATCACTTGAATTACATTCACTTCTCTTGGAATTCAAGATTCATATTTGGTAAGTTAATCTGTAGATTTTAGTTACTTGTTTTAGTTGCGAGAAAGAGTTCCAAAAAATGTTATTGTTTTTTTGAGTACCAATATTTAAATTCAAAGAAAGATTGAGGATTGAGAAACACGAGGATCCTTCCATAAGAAAAAAGGACATTCTTTTGTGTGCAATCCAGGCGACCTTTGTTAAGAAAAATATAATGAGGTTTTGAAAACAATCCATTATTCCTGTCCTAATACTATCACGAGAAGGGCTTGTTTTCTTTGGGGAAAAAATGGGCTATCTTCTTATCGTTAATAGAATTTCATTATGTTTGCCATGCCTCTCTGAATTTTGCATACAAAGGCGTCGGGCGGAGGCGTCGACCTGCTAGAGCCGCGATTCCTCCTAGTGGGGAAACCGATGGAATCGCCCCAGGAGGCAGTAACCGTTGTCTATCTCTCGGAAAATCTTTCCATGGCTTTGGGAACGACCTTAGATGCTATTTAGTTAGCATTGTCCGATTCTAGGAAAACAATAAGTGCCCCTCCGGTCTCTTGAAGAAGAGGAGGGGGCACGGAGGATCTACCCTCGTATAAAACGTTAACACCCTGAGAATAATTAGCACAAATGTCCGTAGTGTACGTGTTTCCAGTCGTGTCTAGTGAATTCCTCTCCAATTGAATTAACTGTGGATTCTAGCATGTATTGGACTCTTTTCATAACTGTAAGTCAAATGCATTGTATATAACAAATATAGACATTTCAAAAGTTATGAAAAAAAATTTACTATAGTTTTCATCGAAAAATTGATAATAAAAAAATCCTCTAAATGATAATAATCATGGGCTGCCAATTTTTACGAAACTCTTATTAAACATTTATGAATATTAATATTATTATCTGCCTTTCTAAAATATGGTTTTCTGTTTTTGTTGTGTATATTCCAAAGAGATTGTAAATATATATTTATTTTTCGACATAGCATAAGAAATGATACGAAGGGTTATACTAAATGAAATTTAGATATATGAAAGTTAGAAACACCAAAAAGCAATTTCAGTAAAAACAAAAATTTTACAAATCGCAATAAAAAGTAGTCATTTCTTGGATTCACCTTTTAAAAATTCATAACACTTCAAACTTTTACCGAAATTTAACGTTACGTCTACCGTTGACAAGTTTAATTTCTCCTCTTTCAGGCTTTGTCAACAATGTTTTGATATTATGCCATTATAAATTAAAAAATGAAAGGGAAATTTAAAAAAACGCTTAAATGTTTTACGTTACATCTCCGATTCTAGTTTATGTGCGGACCCAAAGGTTATGCTTTTACGTGTACTTCGAATGCTAAAGTTACCTTCAATTTTTAGAATATGAATAATTTGATAGAAAAACATTATTCCACAAAATAACTGCAATTAAGAATTATACTAACAATAATTTAGTTACAAATTAATAACAACACAAAACATAAACGTATTCTAATCGAATTTTATCCGTCTTCTGGAAGGCTAGAGTATTGAGAAAACAAAACATTGTACTTAAAACATAAGATATTCATTTTATGTTGCAATACAAAACAAAAAGAAAAGAAGAAGGCAAAACGTATCAATTTATAGTAATTTAAAGGTCAAATTGGTCGATGAGCTCCCAGGAATTATTATAGGCATGAAAATTTTACTACTTGCAGACTTAGATCAATTAGAAAATAAAAGTTAGATTAGAAATAACTTTACTAACAACTAATTAATCTTTATGTAAGGTATTGGTTGAAATGAAAAAGCTTGTGTCACGAGCGGGATTCGAACTCACGACCTTAGACTAAATACTCCGCTGCTCTACGACTTGAGCTATCATGACTTCGATCACCTCGGACACCAACGTCCGATTTCAACCAACAACCCTTCGAATTTTTCCCTCCTTTTTGCCATTTTTGCAAATGTCGTGTAATCAGGATTCGATTCTCGGCGACAAATAAAATGGACACGGAGAGCTGTTAGTGAAGTTATATTTCGTTTTACTTATTAAATCCATAATATTGGTAGAAAAATTGTAAATAGTTTCGAATTGTCAGTTCCTAAATATTCAACAAGCGCATTTATGTAGGTTGCGTGGTGTTAGTGACCGTTAGTCGATAATTATTCAGAAATAGTGAGATGCGGTCTGGTGTGATATAGGTTTCAGAAAAACATTTTCTTTATCGTGCCAACGGTTCGATTTTTATTGAGACCATCTTCAGGGCCTGGGATTTACAAACATTAAATTATGTTAAATTTAAACAATGTTTGTAAATCCCAGGCCCTGAAGATGATCTCAATAAAGATCGAAACGTTGGCAAAATAAAGAAAATATTTTTCTGAAACCTACATCACTTCAGACCGCATCTCACGATTTCGGAATAATTTAGGTATGTTAATAATACTATATAAAAAAATTACTGTTGTACTACCAGTAGTTTTTTTACTACAAATCTAAGTCTATATCTATTCAAACAGAATTGTGAACTTTATTTAAAGACACCTTAACCCGCGGGCGGGACTTTAATTTACTTTTATTACATTTTTATTTCTCGTTGATTTCCAAATATTATAATAAATATATATTGGGCGAAACGACGAGATCGAGACTACACATTTTTATTAACAAAATACGAATTTATTTTACAAAAAATTAAATGAATATATCATTCCATTTATGTCTTAGTGATCAATTGACCAAGTTACTTCTTTCAATTAATTATTCTTTTCATGTAATGTTTTGGTTGAGATAAAAAAGTCAGTGCCACGAGCGGGATTCGAACCCACGACCTTCGGCTAAATACGCCGCTGCTCTACCACTCGACCTATCGTGACTTCGATCCTCTCGGACACCAAGTGTTTAGAGCAGCGGCGAATTTAGCCGATGGTCGTAGGTTCGAATCCCGCTCTTGTCATTAGGTTTTTCATTTCAACCAACACCTTACATAAATTAATTGAAAAAATTTATTTGGTCAATCGGACCATAAATAAAATGAATTGATTTACAATTTTACCGTTTATTATTATATATTAAATTTTATGGCATAATCGGTGCACAAAATGCAGTTAACCATAAGAAAAATAAATATCTAAATTTCCAAGAAATATCGTGTACTCTGAGGTAGTGAATGTGCGAATGTGATTTGTTAGTATGAATGAAGGGGCTCAGCCTCAATTACTCCAAGGAATGTCGAGTACCCACTGTGGGATAGTGAGAATGAATGATTGAATGTAATTTAATTTTGTGAATGTGTGAGCTTATCTCTACTAGGAATATTTTGGGCAGTGTGCTCGAAGTCTGGTGTGTGAAAGTAATTTATCAGTGCAAATGGAGGGACTGATGTCCAATTAATTGAAGGAATATTGAATACTCTAAGGTAGCGTTAATGTGATGACGGTGATGTTCGTAGATCGTGAGATGCGGTCTGGTATGTCTTCATGGCCTGGGATTTATTCACATTTTAAATTTTGATGGATTTGAATTTTTTTTATTGCCGAGACGTTTTACCCAAATTGCGTATTAAGTGACAGGAAGGTAGCTACAACGCCGAAAAGTTTTATTGAACTTCTATTTTTGGGATGAAAAACCGCTTTTCTATTTTATTTCTCGTCAAAGAAATTTTAAATCTTCGCTACTTTCGAAAATTGTATTTCAATAGAATCGAAATTGCTTCGTTTTTTGATGATATTGATTCTTTTCGAGTCATTACTTCTAAAGTATGTCAAAATGTTGTTGTTCACATAATCAATATGTGTTTAAAAAAGTTTTTAAAAACTTTTAAATAAATGTTTTTAGATTGATAAGTATATTTTACAATTTAAAAAATAAATAATGACACGCGGCTAGTCACCAGTAAATTTTACACGTCCCGTATTGTTTATTACGTAAAACTATTGTATCATTATCCATTTTCATATTACACACACTATTGCAACAACATTGAGAAAAGAGATTAACAATGGCGTATTTTTTTAACTTCACAATTGGCTATTTGGAGAATTTTACTCTGTTATCATAATCAGCAAGGAATTTTCACCTCCTGACGCTCTCCTTGTATCTTTGCATTTAGATTAAAATGAAGTTAAGATCGCAACATCCTAAGTTTAATAAACAAGAATGGATTAAGATTGGCGAAGTAGAAGTTTCCGAGATACGAAAACTTATATCACGTTGGCTAAAACCGAGGTCGCGGTCTCACGAAACGAAGATTTATTTTCACCAACGTACTATGTTTGAAGATTTTTCTTTATCATTTACCATATACGAAAAAAACAACAACAGCGGATTATAAAACATTATAAAACAATATACATATTTACAACATAACGGCCTTTGCATTAAAATCTATGAACATAAATTATAAATCTTTATGTAATGTATTGGTTGAAATAAAAACCTTGAGCTATCGTGACTTCTGAACTTGAACAGAAGAGCTCAAGTGGTTAGAGCAGCCGCGTATTGAGCCGAAGGTCGTGGGTTCGAATCCCGCTCGTGACGCTAACTTTTTATTTCAACCAATACCTTAAATTAAGATTAATTAATTGAAAGAAGTTATTTGTTCAATCGGACCACGAAATCTAATGGATTTAATAAGTAAAACGAAGTACCTTCACTAAAGCTCTCCGTGGCATTTTATTTGTCGCCGAGTATCGAATCCTGCTTACACAACATTTGAAAAATTATCTAAATTCGCTAATCTAAATTCGGGTTGACGTTATCGCACCACTCACACTAATAAATACACGCACTCAAACAATACACATAACTACGAACACTTAAAATAGATCTATATAAATAAACCGAATAAAAGGATTCCCAACTAAAACTTCAAAAATATACAACCCTTTTGCAATTTGGAATTACGGCTTGGGTGGGGTTGCATACTGTTGAGTTGTTTATATCCCACAAAAAAATTGATTTTATACATAATCCATTATATTTCGTGGTCCGATTGACCGTCTTTCAATTAATTAATCTTTATGTAAGGTATTGGTTGAAATGAAAAAGTTAGTGTCACGAGCGGGATTCGAACTCACGACCTTTGGCTAATAGGCCGCTGCTCTACCACTTGAGCTATCGTGACTTCGATCCACTCCGACACCAACTCACCATCTCAACCTACCTTTCGAATTTTTCCTCCTTTGTCGTCCGATTGGCCAAATAAAATTATGCCATTGAAAAATGGCAAAAAGGAGGGAGAAATCGAAAGGTAGGTTGAGATGGGAAGTAGGTGTCCGAGAGGATCGAAGTCACGATGGCTCAAGTGGTAGAGCAGCGGCGTATTAGCCAAAGGTCGTGGGTTCGAATCCCGCTCGTGACACTAACTTTTTTTATTTCAACCAATACCTTACATAAAGGTTATTCATAATAAAAATTGCATCAAAATGATTATTCGAGGAAACAGAAGTTTATAGCATATAAATCAATGTGTAGAGATTAGTGACCGTTAATCGATAGTAATTCAGATATCGTGAGATGCGGTCTGGTGTGATGTAGGTTTCAGAAAAACATTTTCTTTATCGTGCCAACGTTTCGATCTTTTATTGTGCCATCCTTGCATGTCGTGCACTCTCAACAGGAGAAAGAAAATATTTTTCTGAACCCTACATTTACACCCGACTGCATATCATGATATCTGAATAAATATAAATCTATGTGAAAACTGTATCTATATTATTATACAAAGAAAACAGTAAATTAAATCAG